TTGCTAGCAGTGGGACAGTGAGCTAACCTTGTCAGGAAATGCCTGTCTGCCAAACACTGCCTCATGTTTACAACCAACAGACACAGCTAAACCCCCCTTATTGCTTGCAAAGGGCTGTTTCCTCACAGGTAACTGGCACCAGAATGCAACAAACCAGTGTGGAATTCTGAGCTCTTATTCCCCAAAAGAGCAAGGTGTACTCCTGCGCTGCCCATGCTTCAGATATGCTGAGCACAGGTGAGTGTTGCTCAGTGCCTTCTAGGATCCAGCTTATAAATGTTTGTAGTGCACCAGCTGATGTGCCTCTGATGGCCTGACTAGTGATGCCCATGGAGATTTAGAGGACTAGGTACAGTGACACTTACTGTATCTCCCTGACAAACAGAATCTTCACTGCAGGTTCCAAACTCATCAGTGAAAATACAGAACCTTCTCCTGGATCAGTGGCAGGGTTTTGTGAGTGAACACAGTTTGGGAAGGTACTTGTCTGTCTTGGGCTCTAAAGCCCTGCCTCTGCACATCATCATGTCCTGTCATTCCATTCTTATTTGCTTTTAGTCATCAAAAAGGAGAGAGAATAAGGTAAATGAAAAGAGAACTGAAAACTGGGAGAGCAAGCACACCTTGGCAGATGAAAACAGCAGAGTCCTTCATTGTGAATATTTCAAATGAGTTTTGTGGCTTTTGGTACAAAATGGAATTTTTATATGCCTTCTGTCTGGTAGTCGGAATGGGAATAGGCTATAGTAATTCTTATAGTAGTTCTTTCTTTCCTTTGGTCTGTTGAAGCCTAATCTCTTGGGTCTGGTTCCACTGACTTTATGATCCATTTATAATACAGTCTAAAATTTTAACTCTCAGGGAAAAATGACCAAAAGATGAAGTTACCTAGACCCAGAGCAAATTAAAGTGGGAATGAAAAACTTTTAAACTACAGATGTTTAAGCTTTAATGAAGATTCTGAAAGAAGATGTCATTCAGGCCATTATAAAAAAGGGATCTTGGGCAGCACCAGCATCTTGGAAGCAGAAGCCTTTTTACAGCACATGCTATTAGTGAAGGCTCAGCACACCAGGCGTTAAAGACCACATAAAAACTTTTGAGTCATAGGTAAGAGTTTCCACTGACTTCAGTGGTCTGTGGATAGGACCCCTCTTGCAGAATCTTAATCCTTTGTGTTATCCCAGCTCACTGCTGTAGAAATGATTACAACAGCCAACAGGGAGGCTTACAGCTCCCAAACAGCAGGCAGCAGGTGAGCTCTTATGAGCAAGATCTTATTTTCATGCAAATGACCTTGGTAAGTGAGAATAAGGAACTGGAGAAAAAAAACACCCTGAATAGAAGACACAAATGGAATTGTTTTTCAATTGAGCATTTTCAGCGTATGCCTTTATGCCTCAGATAAGACATTTATTGCGAGACAATGAATTAAAGTGAATCACTGTTGATAGTAATGCCCTGTCATAATAAATCCAACCTCTTAGATACGTGTCATGAGGTATTCTTCTGAGTCCTTACTCAGTGTGCTACAGTTAGTAGATGGCCAGAGGGAACTGGGGGCACGGACCATGTGTTATCATCATCATCTTGCTTCTACAAGCATCCCACTTTGTGGGATTTCATTAACTAACATTAGCTTTAATAGAGTCAGTGTTAACCTGCTATGCTCAGGTAATCTTTTGGGATAATGGGTTCCCTCTACCTGCGTGAATTGTGATGAGAGTGTGTTAGTTCCTTGAGGCATTCCCAGCCTACCACTGAGGAGACCTAAGTGAAGTGTTCCCTGTATATATGGTATGAAATATGGCCCCACTGAGCCAGTGGAAGAAGTCCATTGCCTTTGGAACATCAGAATTTCACTGTTGCACGTAAATGACTTTATATCTCATTTCGTAGTATTTACATACTACCCTGGGAGACTGCAGGTCCCGTGGCCTGTGTGAGACTTTTCAGCAGTATCATAATATAGAAGGTATTTACATGTAAACTTTTCAATTTATTTTGTGTTCAAGAACAGGGAAATGCTGTGATATCTTTACATTTTCCACACCATGGTGCCTGATCTACTACAAATGACAGTGTATTTCTGAAGCATTTTGTTTTGGATATGAATGTGTGCATACATATATCTTCTGGTGTGTGTTTATTGGTGTGATTTTATCTTTTAATGATATAGATAGGGATATTTATTCTAAAGATATTGTAAGGATATAAACTAGGGTGGTTTTTGAAGTGTTCACTGAAAGTATTTGCCAGAAATGTTTTCTTGCGTAACATACATTGTAATGCTTTTCCACTTTAAAAAAAAGGAAAAAAATGGAGCAAATTTTGTGTAAGTAAATACATTCCTCTTCACCCCTAAGTGTATTGCTGTCAGCTGATTTAATGGGTTTCTCACCAGAGCTGAGGAAGATGAGTGGGCTCCAAACCATGAAGGGAGGCAGACAGCATAGCTATTTTGTTTTTAGATTTCAAATGGTTTTGAGGGCCTGCCATGAGATGAGGAGAAGTCCTGGGCTGTGATGGTTGTTAAATTACAGAGTGCGTTTTTTGACAGCCCAGCAGAGCCCGGGCTGGGCAGGAATTCATTACACCCAGGGTGCAGAGAGCGCAGGGCCAGCGCAGCGCGGGATGGCCGCAGCTCCCAGCCAACAAGCGCTGTGCCGGGCGTTTCCCAGAGCCCATCATCCCGGCCTTCTGGTGGCTCTGCAGCTCGGTTACTGATGACCCATCAGCTGGGGTCACTGCAGCGGCAGGGGACCGCAGGCTGTGATTCAGTGAGTGCACTGTTAGGCATCCGTAGCTGGCCGCTGCCAGCCAAGAGCGGCACATTAACTGCACCACACACATTATGATAGCGCCAGCAAAGTGGTCAGTGCCTAACTGGGATGTGCTGCGGAGTGGCTGAGGGCTGCAGCACGGAACATATGGAGATTATTTCCTGAATTTATGCAGCACATGTTTTCCTATAAATTAAATTCAGAGAAAATGTGTATCATAATAGGGTGATGCTCATAGCAGCCTTCCCTGTTATGAATTACAATGACCTCTCTCAGCTCACTGGGTGCCCAGCGAAATGGCTTTGTGCAGTTGGAAACAATAGTGTATGTGGTGTCAGGGTCTGAAAGCCTGAAAACCAAAAGGCTCTCTAACTAAAAGCAAGGTCTCCTTTTTGTGTTTGTTTTTTATCCCATCCGCTGTTTCTCTTATTCTTCTCTCTAGAAACTACCCAGTTTCCTCCTGAGGTGCTGAGCTGTCAGGAGGGTGGGCAGATGCCTGGGTGTCTGCTCTGTAATGAACTGGGTGCTGCCCTTGCTGAGGTGCTGCTGGACAGCAAGGGCAGCTCTGGATGTGGCAGCAGCCCCACTTCATGGGTGAGGGTGTTACCAAAACAGCAGGACAGGGGTCTTTAGCCAGAATAATGAACAAAGCAGCACATGTCCCTTCTGTGTCCCTGGACTGAGGATCCCAAGCCATTTCCTTGGCAAATATTTGATGTTTTGTTGCCTGAGGCTGGGGTAAAATCATTTTTCCTTTTCCCTGGGCATGCCGAAGCAGTTGAAGGAAAAATATAGTAGAGACAGTCATTCTAACTACTTCCCCAAAGCACAAAAAATATGTTCCTTACAACTCTGTGTGTGCAACCTTTAGCAGAGGAAATGTGGGAGCAGAACAAACTGGAAACTCAAAATATAAATATATACATGTGTGTCTATGTATATGTATGTATATATATATATAAAAATATATAAAAGCAGTGGGTACCAGACATCAAAACAATCTGGGGTTTGCTCTGGGGCAAAGCACTGTGGAATCAGTACAGACTAATAGGGTGTTCTCAGCTGTGGTGAGGGACTTGCTTTTTCATTTGTGGCTGATTATAGGCTAATAGGGTTTCAAAGGTTTCTGGGAGGGAACAGTTCACATCTCATTGCATTTGAGGGGGGGTTTTTTTGATGTTTCATTTATCAAGCTGATACCTACCCTTAGAATACATTTTATTACTCTCCTGTTTAGCTTCTTGAACTGATTTTTACCCTTTGGTCCCTTGCTGCTGTCTAATTGGCAGTTTTCAAGTCATTTGGGACTTTTTGAAAGATCCTAATCAGCCTTTTGTGTGATAGAAGAGAATGGATCATTTGAATTAAAAATAATGTTGTGAATCTTTTTAGGTTTAGTCCTCTCTTCTTTGCTTTTCACTAATACATGCATGATGTGGCTTGTACCTTTGTGTTTTCTCAATGAAAATTAACAATTTGAAAGCAACTCCTGGGAACAACCATTACAGCTGAATTTTGCCAGTACAGACTACTTCTATGACTGACCTTCTCTGTTTTGAGCCAGTAGTAGCCCTAGTTATTTTTCTTTAGCAGCTCACATGTTGGGAACACACACTTAGCCTGTAAATATGGATTCAGGAGGAAAATGAATACGGCAGTGTTCAAAGCAGCCAAAAGCTTAGAAATAATGTTCTGCTGTGACTTTTCCAAACTGACATCTTGATGCTGGGATTATAAATGAAACCATTGTTCCGGCAAAGGCCAAGACTAATAGAAAGCCTTTATTACCGGTCCATTGGCTAATTCTGCTTGTCTAACCCCTTTGGATGGACACAGTGTCAGAAAACATAGTCACAGAGGTTGCTTTGTGTGAGATTTGGCCTGCTGCATGATTACATGGGGGGACAAAGATATCTCAATGACAAGTGTTCTTTGACTAAAATTTGTAAAGTCATTTTCTTTCCCTAGGCCTTGGAGAGGAGTGAACTGATTTTTAATCTACAGTTTCTATGAGTGATATTTGCTTTGTGTCCTATCACCTTTCTATTCAGCTGTTCTCCCCTTCCAAGCAGGTAAACCTCTGCTTAGAAAAAATTGTTTCTTCTGCTGAGCCTCGGTGCGGTTGACAGCTGTCATATACAAGCACTATACTTGAATACATGTCTTTAGAGCTAGACAGTCTTAAAGGGCTTTAATCTTTTGTCTTTGCACATGCAGGGAATGCCTAGGAGCCAGAGACCCTTACTGCGGCTGGGATAGCAAGCAGAAGCGATGCACCACCATTGAGGACAGCTCCAACATGAGCCTGTGGACTCAAAATATTACTGAATGCCCAGTAAGTGAAAGGAGTGGAAGTATTTTATATATATATATACTGATGTGTGTATGTGTCTGTGCATATGTGTAGAAGGGAGAGGCAAAGAGAGTGTGCGGCAGCCTGAAGAGGACTGGCTGTCTTGAAGGAACAGAGAGACACCAAATATATTTATTTGCTCCAAAGAGGGATCCCAAAGCAAGCATTCAGTCTTCCTCATGTCCCCCCATGCATTGAGTGAAGAAGAATGGATCATGCTGTTGGGTTACTTCTGAGAACCACATAAGCCCCAGCTGAAACTTGAGCCTTCTCAGGGCTGCTCCACTATCTGCGCAATCTCCTTGGCTTCCCTGAATTCGGGAAAACAAGAATTTGTTAACTTTCCTCTTGGATCCCTGAGCTGGGCCCAGTGGACAACACTGGTGAAAAAGCATTGTACTTGGAGGAAGAGCCATCAAGGCAGCAGCAGAGAAATTATTGCATGGATGATTTCCAGCGGGAACAAAAGGATACAGTGTGTACTAGAGAAATTAAGGGAAGAGGGGAGTGTAACCAGGAAAGGGAATATGAGAAAGTGTTCGATTCTAATCTCACTTCAGCAGACCAAAGACCAAATCTACATTATATTGCAAAGATATGGCCTTCTTTCCTTGCCCCAATCTCCATGAGATGCATGGAGAAAAAAAAGTATCTCTGCTTGAGTCAGTTTGAGTTGGCTCTCCAGCTCACTTCCCAGCCACCCACCCTCCTCTGATGACAGTATCCCGTTCCTGGCTGTGATCCCCAGAAGCTGTCTAGCCATATATAATTCCTACTGCTTGAACTGTACCTGCAAACTGGGGAGGAAAACCAGTCTTGTTAAATGAATTGAGGGTGGGGGAGAAATTCTCATTAATGTTCATCATAATTATCTAATGTCAATTAGCATGTTAATACTGCTAAGTCCGGTAGATAGAGAGAGAGGACTGGATGGGTTATATCTTCAGTACGCTATTTCTGTCTGGAGGTGCTGGGATGTTTATTCCCTTTATCTTCCTTACTTCTCAGATATTTTCCCAGGAAATATTAGTCATTACTTCAATCCATTCTCAGCTTGGCAGGCTTAAGTTTTTCACTGCTGGATTCAGAGGCTTGTGTGTTTATAACCCTCCTGTGCTGAACTGGGATGCAGTGCTTCTTGATTGCCCATGCTGTTATCTCGTCCTGCTTAACGCCTGTGTCTGTTGATAGGTGTGTGAGGTGTTAATCCTCTAGTTTGAACATGTCTGCCGTGGTGCACACTAGGGAACATGCTACTCCAGATCATTGTTTCAAGGTCAAAAAAATCCAGCACAGAATATTCAGAAGCTTTGGCTGTTCCTGGGGTGCTAGTTTTACATTTGTTTTAACATTTCCATTGTAGATTATTTTCCTTGTAGGTGCTCTCATTCTGTTACATATATAAACCTTGTGCTCTTTGACTGACAGGCTGCCAAGCTGTTTAAAATCCACACGCAAGTGCTTTCTTTTTCTTTCACCTCTTCCTCTCACTGGAATGAATTCACCAGTGGTGTGGAGTGGGATGGTTCATTTAAGCACCTACACCACTAATATCCAAGTATTTCCTTGTATTTAGTGCAGGATAAAGGTCACGGACAAGAGAGGCAAAGGTCTAGGACACAATATGCAGGTGGCCACGAAAGGGAGGGGAATACAGTGATCCAGTGCTGAATTTCACTCCTGGAAAAGACCTGTCTGGGAGTGTAGTTGGAGGAGTTACTGTCATAAGAAGTCCTGGCTTTTCTCACCCCACTTTTCTGGGCTCAGCACCAGGCGCTCAGCTGTGCTGGTATAGCTGTATGTGAGATCACAGTCTTGTGAAATGGTGTAGATAAAAAGCACCCCTCCCAAATAAACTTTTCCTAACCCAGATAATGTCAGTGAGTTCTTCTGCAGCCTAGCCCACAAACAGATGTCCTGGCACAGCTGAGAGACTGGCATGCAGCAACTTTTAAAGCCAGAACTGGCATATTATTGAATTATATCCTACATGGGCCAGGCACTTGTGTGAGTCAATCACAACACTAACACAACTTGACTGCTGCTCTTGTGCAAACAGGCTTGTTCAGAGCTAGTCTGAACATCTTTTTATAGTACTACATTGTGCCACAGATTCCCTGTCTCCAGCTTTAATATTGAGGGACTTTAGATGGAGGATTAATTATTATTTAATATAATACCTTGGGCAATAGGTAATATATGTTATTACCAGGAAACACCCAGAATCTGCCAAAGGTCATTATTAAGGTTGCAGTGTCAGCCATTTTAACATTAAGAAATGATAGCACACAAATTCCACAAATTGCATGGCTCTTCCATTTATGCACATGTTGAATCAGGCAGTTTTGAATGGCTTTTCATGGGAATTGCAAAGAGGTAGTACAAAGTCATAAGGTTCAGTTCCTTGCTCTGGACACTAATTTGTTTCAAGGAAAATGTGGACATTCTTTTCTCCTAGATTTGATTTTGTAAATGGTTGAAGTAGTTTGACTGAAACTTTGCAAGAATTTTCAGCTTTCTTCAAACAGCCAACATGGAAACTTCCAGATGAAGTCGTTAAAGCTTGGCAAAATTATAAGCGGTTGATATCTGAATTGTAAGATGAAGAATAGATGAAATGAAAGAATAAGGAATGCTTCTAGTCTTACCTGTAATATCAGAATAAACATGGAAAATATCCTGGTAGCAGGGATTAGGAATGGCCAGTCTGAATTTTCAGATCATGCATTTGAGGCTTTAGACTGTACAAAGAAGAAAGGAAAAGGTGAGGCCTTTGGTGTGAGTATGACAAGTTTATAAAAGACGAGAATTCCAGAATTGGCAATATTGTCAGGTGAGAGGGCATTTGATCAGATGTGTTTTTAAAGATGTCGCTCTGTCTGATGGGCACTCTGTAGGCTACAAAGGACTTGCCTTGTAAAGCTCTTCCTGAAAAAGATCAATGCCTGTGGTCTTTTCATCCCACTTCCCAAGTTTGCTCTTTTGAAGATATTTTTGTGAATTTGAAGATGGAATAATAATCCATACGTAATTTCTTAAGTATAAAACTTCCCCTACTCACAATGTGACATGTCTGTAAATCTCAGCATTTTGGTTATGGCTGCTTATTTGTTTAATTTTTTGGGTTGTTTCCCAGTATCACTTATGAGCCAATAATTATTTGTCAGCTACTTTTTTTTTTTTTTTTTTTTAATTGAAGCCACAGGCCATATCATACCATTGATTTCTGAACAGAACTCCCTGCTGGAATCAGCAAGGCTTTCTGGCTCAAAAATGAATAGAAATGATCCAATACTTGGATTATGACTTTTGTACGGCAGGAGGAAAAATGAGATAAAAATCTAGGATTAAGTATCTCAAATAGTTCTTTTGATTTCCTCCCCCATCCCCAACTTATAGCAACCCAACTGTATTGATTTTAAAGCAATGTTTAAAACAGCAAATTCAACAACAACAAATCTCAGTGTTCTCCTCCCTGGGCATCTTGCCTTGTAACCTGCAGCCCAGGGCAAATTTTTACAAGTACATGATCATCTCTTGCAAACAAAGGCTTACAGCAGATGCCTGGAACCCCCCAACTACAGCCTGAGGAGCGCAGTGTCAAATCTAAATTACTTCCATGCCACTGCTGCATGTTTTTGATGCTGCTGTAGATGGGTGAGAGGGGAAGATGACAGCCCACAGAGGTACATTCTGAGACTTTAACGTAGCGCCAAACTTAGAGAATAAGCACAGAGCAGTGTGTTTCAGGGGATGAGTGTTGGAAAGCACTATTCCTGTGGCTGCAGTTGTCTCCCTGCGTGGCTCCTGAGCAGCCTCACAGCCTCTCTGTGGCTCGGTTTACTTGTCTGTAAAGCAGGAGGAATGATTTCCCCTCTGGGTCAGCCCAAGGGGCTGATCCTGCCGGCAGCAGAGCTCAGTGAAGCGTGCACACTGGGGTTTGTCAGAGGCAACTGGCTCAGATTTGGGGCCAGGGCTGTTTGCCAGGGCCCCAGCCTCTTCCTTCCTTCACCCTTTCTTGTGTGTGACACCAAGGCTAAATCCAGTGTTGCCTTTGCCAGAGGTTTTACCAAAGCTGCTGAGCATCCCACCACCCTGTGGGTGACACCACAGGGATGGGCCACTTGCAGGCAGCCACCATCTGTGCCATCCACCTGCAAGGCCCAGCAATTTGGGATATGGGGTGGGGAGGATGGAGGGAGTCACCGGGGCAGAGTCCATCATGGTGCTGCACTGTAGCAAGGGAATAGGCAAGGCCTAGGCAGGGCCAGCACCAATCTCTCTCTGCCTCTTGTTTCTCAAGTAAGGAGAAGAGATGATGCCAGGTCAGGGGTGTTCAGGGTAGCTTTCAAGACATGGTCCTGGGCTGCTGGATTTTGCAGTAGTGGTGGAGTGGGCACAAGAAGGCAGTGGTGGCCAGGAGTGATCCCAGGAGGACAGCATGCATCCTCTCCAGCCAGCCTTGGGGGTGAGGGTCCCAGCAGCTTATTCCCCCAGCCCTCAGCTTAGGGCTCATTTGGCAGCACTGGTTAGAGCAAGGCACAGGGGAGCAAGCTCCGACACTGTCTCCTGGAAGGTCTTCATCAGCCCTGGGCTGAAATAGTTCTGTTTCTCATGCTTTTGGTCTCCCAGGACTACCGTATTTTTCATTCATTACAGCGCGCAGGGAGCTCAAGTCCTAGCCTGTTCAGGTCTACGCAGGTGTGAAACAAAGGGCAGAGGAAACAGATAGCAATGTCGTCTGGTCTTGAGATGAATTCTTGCTCTTTAGCTCACTGTGATCCTCAGAATTAATGCTAGTCACCACCATCTCCTTCACTTTCCATCCTTCATCCATTTGGCCATTTAAGCTGCAGCTCTGTTTGGAAAGGGATCCAGTTCTTACTGCGTGTTTGGACAGGGCCAAACTCAGCGAGGCCTGGTCTCAGCTGGTCACTATGGTTATATGAATGCTAACGCAGAAAACACTCTGCAGGAAGCACTGCAGAGGCTGGAGCATAATGAGTGGGGACAATCAGCACTGGCTGTTGTGTGTTTGAAAGGCTGAAGCTGTGCAGTGTGGGATGGGGAGCACGGTGGTTTTATGGTGTGGCAGATGGATGCTTGCTCCTGGTGTGGTGCTGTCTGGATCGGCTCGGTGCCTGTGCGCACATGTTAGGTATGTGGCGTGGAATTTGGAGGGTAAATATTGATGTGGCATTGTCTGAAAACAACCCTCTGTTTTGAATCCTGCACGCAAGCACAGACAGCTCCCATCTAAGCTGCATCCTAATCCCCCCTGGCAGCTTTGTTTGGCATTTCTATTGTGGGCCTGTCTCCAGAAATGTAAACTTGCTATTAATGACTTCTTTTTCTCTTAAAATTAGGTGAAAAACCTGACAACAAATGGAAGACTGGGGCCTTGGTCCCCATGGCAACTGTGTGAGCACTCGGATGGGGACAGCACAGGCTCCTGTATGTGTAGGTCACGTTCATGTGACAGCCCTCGTCCTCGCTGTGGAGGTCGCGCTTGTGAAGGGGCCAGGATTGAGGTCGCAAATTGCTCAAGGTACCTCAGCGTTCTTTGTGCTTTTTAGGAAGGGAACAAGAGTTGTGCCTGTCCATAGCTTAGCTCCTTCCCTGTATTTTTGTGACCATGTTGTTGTAGCCCAGCCGAAGTGAGGTATGTGAGATCCCACTTGAAGTCAGTGTGAAATGAAGGAGCCCAAGGGCTCTGGGAGAAGGGCCCTCAGCCAAGGCTCTTGGAAGGTGAGCGCCCAAAATTACTGTACACATTAACCACTGTGCCTCGGTTTCCCTCAGCTGCACAGTGAGTAGTGACCCCTCAGGAGGAGGTGAATAAGGCAGAGGTAGTTGTTAGCCAAGCCTAAAAACATCAATAAACTCATAATTTTTCAGAGTTTGGGTTCCAAGGCTGCATTTCCAAAAGCAAGCAGAGTTCCTTCAGAGCAGTGCTTGTAAAACCAGGGCCTAGCCTAGCTGTGAGCAAGTCTTGTTTGCCCTGTTCTGCGAGTCTGTGAACTGTCTGCAGCACGCTGGCCGGGTGAAAGCAACACATCATCACCTGGCAGCGAGCAGCGCTCGGGAGGCGTGTCTGCTGGGGACGGCACTGCAGCAGCACATGCAGCTCAGCTTGGGTCGAAGTGCTGCCTGTCCACAGAAGTCTGAAGCAAATGCCTGAGCAGTATGGAAGCTCAGTGTCCTCCTCTCGGGTGCCCAAACATAGCCGTGGTGTTTGTGTCCATGTTACTCCACCACCCTCAGACTACATCATGTCATGACTCAAGGAAAGACGATGCAATAGTATAAGCACTATTAAACCAGGGTGGGGACAGCCAGTATTTTGGTAAGTATTGGGTCAATACAGTTTTTATCTACTTTATCTTCTCCATAAACATTCATTCCGTTAAGGACAGCTGTCTCTTGACTCATCCCTGGAGATCAGTGCTGGTCTTGGCACCAAAATTTCTGCAATACTCATGTTTTAATTGGCATCTCTCCTTCCAGTTGTGGGCTGTGCTGCCCAAAAGGTGTGCAGTCATTCCTGTCCCTGTACTGCCACTGTGGGCTGAGCGGAGCCTTCCCCAGGCAGGCTTTTTATGTCACTGGCAAATGGAAAACATGCCAGTGGGATGGGTTTCTCAGCACTGCTCTGATGGCAAAAAAGACAGGAACAGCTTCTAAGAAGGGGATGAAAAACAGATTATTCAATCTTAAGACACAGGAAAACATCATGGTTTGAAAAATAGGGACATCTGGTCATCCTACATCCGCCTCAGCCCTCAAATTTCCTTTAATTGACTTCATATGGCATTGAGATTTCTTTCTGGAAAGAGGGAGCAGGATGTTTTAAAGATGAGTTCTATTAGAAAGCTGGAGATCTCAAAGTGGAAGGTGTCTTATTTCTGTTAAAAATCCTGAAACACAAATAACTGCTGAGAACTGTTGGGTTTTTGTGGATTTTTAAGAATAATTACTTGCCCTTTTTGCAGCAATAACAGCAACCTTCCATTTGATATTTTTCTTTTCATAATTTTACACATAATCTTTCTTTTGGGTTAAGGAGTGGGGAGGTAGTAAGTGGGTTAAAACTTGGCAGAATAATATGGAATAGTAGGATTTTTATATGAGTGAGTTTCTTGTTCTTTGACCTTGTTTGGGGTGGGAGAGGGGAAGGGAAGCAGGGAGAGGGATAAGAGAACAAGAGGAGGGGAGAAAGATCTATCAGGGTTCTGAAATAAAGCCGCCAAGAACAGGCAAGAGTTGATAACGAATACAAAAAGTGTGAAGGGCAATGTTGGTTTTAACTTTCATCCTCTGCCCTGATTGGTGCTATGCCAGAAAATATTTCTTGCCAGCAGTGTTATTAGTTCAGTTAATGCTTTGAAAATTAACATCTGTTTTCAAGCTTAGCTTTCAAGATTCAGAGAGCACCTGAGTTGTTTTCTGACTAGACTTTTTAGAAAGGTTTTTCTTTATTAAAAAACACACCCCAAAAAAGGTATCTTTTGGCTTAAGGCAGTGAAGTGTCAAGATGAGGCAGTTTTATAAGACAGAGCATTACCACTGGCTCTGTATGAAATGAAACCTGCAGCACAGAAGAGATGAGATACAGTTCCTCCTCTCCTGCTTCAAGGTTCAGTGCTGACAAATCAGAGGATGGTGAGCTTTAATAGATGCAAGATTTAAAAGATGAAAATGCTGGCTTCTGTGTAAGCACGTTTGAGTCACCACATGGCAGCAGTGTCGACGGCACGTGCTCAGCCTGTTTCAGGAGCGAGGCACGGAGTGTTTGCCAACATCTCTGTCGCTGAGGTGTGAACTAAGGGGTTTTACATCACATTTGCTTCAGGCTGTGTTACCACTCTTCAGCAGAGATGTGATCACTCATTAAACCATGAAACTCGATCCTGCCTCTGAGCTCTTAATTGCTTCTGGTTTCTACAGATTTAAGGTCACACTACAGTGACGTCTGCAGGCGGCCATGAAAGCTAGAAGCAATTATTGTTATTTTTAATGAAATTTGAGGTTTCCACTTAATAGGATTCAATGCTGAAGGCTTTAGGAAAACACAAAATATTATGAGGTTTGTGATAAAACCGTGGGAGCTGGCAGTGGTATTGCTGTAAGAGATTTAGAGCATCAGTGCCTACTGAATTAGCAGAGGGTAGGTTTTCTACATCCTTTGGCACAACTGGCATTTGTGATTCTCAAAACCTGCACTCTTTGTGCAGAAGAGCTCAGGAGGCACAACTTTGGGATCAACCATGGGCTCAGAAGAGCCAGGTTATGAGACATGGGGGAGGTGATGGGGGAATAGTCAGTGAAAGTTATACTAACCACACTCTTGCCTGACAAATCATAGGAGACGTTTGCAAAATCATTCAGCTTTGTCTTCATTCTCTTTCTTTCCAGTTCTTAGAGACTTCAAAGGGGATGAAAGGCCAGTGCTAAGAGCTTTTGAAACTCCCTTCTAAATCTCCTCTGATATAAAGTCTGGTTGAACTGAATAGTCATATGTGTTTTGCTCTATAAAGCATGGCATGATATGGGAGACCGTTGGACGATCCCCATACTCTGTTTTCTCTCACCCTTTTTTGTTAGAAATGGCGCTTGGACACCCTGGTCCTCCTGGGCCCCATGCAGCACCTCTTGTGGGATTGGCTTCCAGGTCCGCCAGCGATCCTGCAGCAATCCTGCTCCACGATATGGGGGCAGGGTCTGCGTTGGACAGAGCAGGGAAGAAAGGTAAGAGTTGTCCACAACACTCTGTGTTCATTTCTGTGGGTATAATGTTGGCAGCTGGGAGCGGTGGCTCTCACGTAACTGCAGATTAAGGCTGCTTGGTTGAATGCACCGAGAGGAAGGAGTTGCAGAGCCTGGGAGGGATGAGGTTCCTCACATTCATGACCACTCTTTTCCAATGAACCTGTGAACATCAGAGACTTCAGAGCTGCCTTCACTATCAAACAGGACCTTTCAGACCTCCATAAGTATTCCTGTCCCACCAACAGGGGGCTGCCTTCCTCACCTAAAGGAGGAGCTGTGCCTGCTGTTGGCAGAGTTTACAGATATGGTTGAACTCTTCTGATCCATCCTGGAAGTGGCAGCTGAGTTTGTGCAACTTTTAATTGCCAGTTGCACCACTCCCAAGTCTCTGTTACTTGATGGTGATGGTGCACCAAAAGAAATTCAAGGCAAAATATAACTTAACTCACAGATTCAGTCTTGAGTTTTGCAGGTCATGGCATCAGGAAAACCTTTGTTCCCCTCTAAACTAAGAAAATTTCATGCAAAATTACTAAAACCCAATACTTTTTGAACCTACAGAGCTATCTGCACTATAACACTTCTTCAAGCCTGACCCCTCATGAAACACATGCTTCAAGGCACCCCAACTTGTTTCCAGGTCTGACATTTCGTTAAAGGCCACCTCTGCTTGGCAATAGGCTGTTGCTTGTCCCTTGAGCGGTCACTAAGACACATGTCTCTGCATTTCTCCAAATACAAAGGGCAATTCATTTAACTTCCTTGTTTCAAGACATTTTAATGTTAGATTTGATTTGTGTCCATTCACAATGGTCCTTTTTGGGGTTAAAGATTACATCAGAGTCAAGTGCAGTCCTGTGTGATTCAATTTGAGAACAATATTGATTAAAACTCTGAACAAAATTAAGGTTACTTTTGACATGGGAACATGAAATAGCATTCATTTAGGACCTGCTTTTAGATGCATATAGCATCTAATTCTGCCCTATTTTCAAACTCCAGTTTCCTAGGGTCCAAGGAGCAGTAAAAGCTAGACTGCGTGAAGAGAAGAAGATTGCCAGGTGTTTAACACCTGCCATTAGTGACAAATCACTGTTGAGTTGTTCTCCCTCTCTCATCCCATTTACCATGCGTTCTCTCTCTTTGTGACACTTGGGCTTCAGCTTATGAGCTCTTTTGTGGATTCAGTGTTTGTGGAAAAGTTTTGAGACTAGAGCACTTCAAAACACTTGATCTCGACCATTTACTCCGACTGTCTTCCTGAGCTCAGCCTGGTTATCCACTCCTGCTCCATACAAAGGCTACAGTTCTCTCCATGAGCAGGAATATTGCTAATCTGACGGTGTGTCAGCCTCCTCTGTGCGTGCCATCAGTTGTGCCCCAATGCAGTGTGCAGTCTTGTGTCCTGCACCATTTTGTCCCTCGGGTGTGCTGATGTGGATGTTCTTTGAGCAATGCACTTTCTTCTTTCAGATTCTGTAATGAGAACAATCCATGTCCATTACCGATTTTTTGGTCTTCATGGGGACCCTGGAATAAATGTAGCGTGAACTGTGGTGGAGGGATTCATTCAAGGCAGAGGTCCTGTGAAAACGGAAATACATGTCCAGGCTGTGCTGTGGTATGTATTATTTATTGACATTGCATAAAGGGGCACCTACTGACAGCCAGCATCTAGGAACTTGGTATTACCTCCTCTCTCCATCTTGGTTTTATTTCTCAAACTAGAAGAAAATGCTGTCCTCAGCTTTTGCTGGAGAGGATGCTGAAATGAACTTGGAAGCACAGAGGTGGCAGATTTAGGGATAGACTGGGGTACGGAGGATTTCCTTAGGTCTCTGTAGGCTTAGATTTTATGGCCTTTACCTGAAAGCAATATACATGTTTTTCTCTTCTGTCCCGCTCCCGAGGATGATCTGTTGAGTCAAGGAGGCCACACACACATCAGAAGTGAGTTGCACTGTCATACTTGAATAAACAGGTCCAACATCTAGTTCACCCATCAGTGAGGCAATGGCTACCCATTTGTTCTCTTTACTTTCCCTTTCCTATTCTGGTAGCAGTTTCATGCAACTCTTTTAATTAGTTTTGTGGAATTTCCTTTCAGAGCAAGCAGACTTGATCTGACACTTCCCATCTCTTCACAAGCTGTTTGACATTTACTCTAGAATCACACAAGGTCCTGAAGCATTATTTCTTCCTCTTTGCCAGAAAAGTTTGGTTTATTCATTTATTTTAAATAAAGAACACATTATTTGTCACTGGAATTCCTCCCACTAGTGGCAAGAATTGTAAAACCCCCAAATTACCCCGTCCCTGTACACCAAAGATGATAAATGGTTCATAACCCTCACTAGAGAGTTCAAGAAACCAACCAAACAAAAATAGCTATAGAAAGAGGTAATCTAAACCCATATTAAAAATCAAAAATAAACTTTTGAAGGAATAAATCTTAACTGACATTTTATCCTCATGGGGCTTCTCTAGGCTGACCTAAGAGCAGCATCTCAGGGTCACAGCAGAAAACTTCTTGGCTGTTGCTGTTATCTACTGCCTGAATTATTCTCCTGCCCATAATGTACCAAGCTGTTGAACCCCCACAGGACTTAGAGTCAGTAAATAAACACAAACCTGAGGGAGACATAAAAATAGCAAGCATAGTTTACCCTTGAGGTCCACCTGAAGCTATTCACCACCACTACCTCCATAGCCACCACATTTTGTGCTGTGCCCAGCACTGGCTTGTGCCTGTGAGGTCAGATAAGGCAGATGGGGATTGTTTTAGATCCAGAGAGTACCCTCTTATTTTCTGAAGTGTAAATAAATCTCTACCAGTTAGGCTGACGCTGTTTAATAAGTAAGGAGAGAGTGGTTTTCCTTCTTGACAGGAATATAAGACCTGCAACCCAGAGAGCTGCCCGGAGGTGCGCAGGAACACCCCCTGGACCCCCTGGATGCCTGTGAACATCACCCAGAATGGCGCCCGCCAGGAGCAGCGCTTCCGCTACACGTGTCGTGCCCAGCTGTCAGACCCCCACGAGCTGCAGTTTGGGAGGAAGAAAACCGAGAGTCGTTTCTGCCCCAACGATGGCTCAGCTGTGTGTGATACTGACTGTACGTCCTGCCAGCTCTGAGGGACCACAGGGCAAGCCTAGATTTGGTGGTGGGACAAGGGTTCTCTCAGGACAACAGAAAGCTGACTGTGTCTGCAGTAGTACATCTAGTGTCACCTGTACGACCAGTGCCACTGCAGAGTGGGAGGGATGGAGAGAGCCCTGTGACATACAGATACACAGTCATGAGCTCTGTGCTTATGGCAGCGTATAGATTTGTTCTTGCTGCCCCAAAGAGAACAGGCAAGTAATGCAGTTGTAAAGAAGAGAAGAGCTGTCCTACAGGACAGTGTGTCTTTTCTTTCTCTCTTGGGCTCCCCTTGTGCACAGCCTCTTGGGTTGGTCGCTGCAATACTGCTGTGATGCAAGGCAGTGTCTTGAGGGCACAGCCTGGACTCCCAGTTTTCTGCCCCAGAAGGACATTTATCAAGGTGATCAGTAGACTCAGTTTGTGTGTTTGCAAATTTGTTTTTGTATTCCCTGTGGAACAAAACTCTTGCTAAGGGCTTTCAACAGAAACTATTTCACAGGGCATGTAAATCCTGATTTTTATTCATGAGCTGAATCCCTTTTAAAAGCCCAGCTTTTGATTAATTTGTGATCTCATGATGTCTCGTTTGTTTTCCTTGAAGCTCTTGTTGATGACCTCCTCAAGACTGGTAAGACCTCTGCACGGATTATCAATGGGGGCTGGTCCTTTTGGGGGGCCTGGTCTTCCTGTTCCAGGGACTGTGAGCTGGGCTTTAGGATCAGGAAGAGAACATGCACAAACCCTGAACCTAAAAATGGTGGCTTACCCTGTGTGGGGTCAGCGATGGAGTACCAAGACTGCAATCCGCATCCCTGCCCAGGTAAACATGAACATCTTCCTGCATGAGCTTCAGAGGAGTTTTTCCAAAATCTTAATGGTAGAGCAACAACAACAACAAAATCAGTATTTCTATGCTGGTTTGTTTGTTTGGGTTTTTTTTAAAATTTGGGGGATTTTCTTTAGTATTTTTAAAACTATTGTAATGACCCACATGTGATTTTTAGTGCTGACTTAAGTTTCACCTAAGGGTAACACAGCCACATCCTCTAGAGGAAGTAGTAGGGTGGCTTGTAGCAATTTTTCTGCTTCAGGAAGGTTTGATCCTCCATCCTGTGGAGGGCATCATGGCGTGTCTGCTCCTTGATGAAGAGACAGGTTTAATAAATGTGGCTTAATACTGTATAGAGATGCTTGATGTGGCGGCTCTTCTTGTGAACACTTGTTTCTTCCCCCTCTCCTGCTTACGTATTGTTCTTGCGATGGGCATCTCCTCTTGACATCAGTTACCATTTCCTGCACAGCCAGCAGGGAGTATTCTTGCCTGGTTTCCTGGTTTTCGAGTTTGTCCTCATGTTTACGTTGCACTCCTTGTCCAGAATAGTAGTAATAGACCATTGACTACTGTATTCTCTCTCACTTATCCTTCTCCTTGCTCTGTAATAACTATCTAAACTAAATTTAAGTGATCTTACACAAATTACCTTGCCTCTTTGCAGTTCTAGCAATTATCTACCTCTGGCATTATAGTTTGTGGCCTACACTTGAAAATGCTCTATTATAGTAGTACTATTATGATTCTAAAATTCAATACAAAGATAAAATTCCAATGCAGATATGATCAGAATGTGCAGCAAGAGCGTAGCAGGAGTGTCAAATATTGCACTCTATGGCCTATAAAAAGGAAATAACCCTAGTACTATAAAGGCAGCTATTAGTACTATTTTGGAAGCTCTCAGTGGCTTTTCACTAATGTCTGTGCCCTTCTGTGCTGTTTTCTCTCCTTGGACAGTATGATGTTTTCAAATCTGTTCTGAGTGCATGATTACTATTTCTCTGTGTCTCCCTCTTTCCCTGCCTCACTCAATGTGTATACACAAATCCTGGGTTTATCTTGCACTGAGTCATCAGGTTATTATCTTCTGAATTAATGGCATGTGGACCTGTAAACCAGGCAGTATAATGGGTGGGGGGTGGGGGAATCAGTGTTCCTAAGTCCCTCCCTAGTTTTATTATTAACCTCTTATGGGGTTATGCTCAGATCATAAAATGGTTTGGGTTGGAAGGGACCTTTAGAGGTCATCTAGTCCAATGCCCCTGCAATAAGCAGGGCCAATAAATAAAGCCTCTGAGTTTCTGTTTCCTAAAGGCTGAAACTAGAGGACTTGGAGGCCCCACAGAAAGGTGCCATATAAGCTCCACTTAGGTTCTACAGCGCTCTTTCCCCAAGTAAATCTGCTTTCGCTGTAAGTGAAGTTTCAAGAGGTAGTAGCAGTAGTAATAATAATAATAATAATAATAATAATAATACCAATGCTGTTCTATAAAAAGGAAAGGAATAGAATGGAGTAGACTATTTCAGTGAATAGTAGTGACTACCATAAAGAACAGTTACTGTTATGGCACTTTATGATGCAGAGCCTTTTTCTGCTTAGATTTCATTCTTCATCCACAGAGTGCAGTACATTTGTACTCTCTCTTGATGCAAAGTTTTTCTTGTCAGGCCCTAATGTCCCAGAAACTGCTAGCTAGTCTGGGCAGGGTGAATCTGGAAGGTGAGATACCAGGGCTCTCTAGCTTTGTCACAGTGAGAGGAGTAACCAGTGCCATCTATCTCTCTCTCCTTGCTTTCCTGTGTCCTCCAGTGAAAGGCTCGTGGTCTTGCTGGACTCCTTGGTCTCACTGCTCAGCAACCTGTGGAGGTGGGCACTACCAGCGCACACGGACGTGCACCAATCCGGCCCCATCCAGCGGGGAGGATATCTGCATCGGCCTGCACACCGAGGAGGCCCTCTGCAACACGCACCCCTGCGAAGGTAACCGCTTCTCATCCCTGCTCCACTTGGCTTGGAGGGGAGTGGGAGCAAGGCACATCTGCACAATGTTTAAAAAGTGTATCAGAAACACCACCAGTTACGAGTTTTTCTGTAGGTGTCTGCTGAGCCAGGGAAAAAGGAGACATCCCAGTGTTCAACTGCAACGCATCACCTTTCTCTGTGCCTTCTCACTAGCCCATGCTCCGGCATTCTGGTGCCAGTCAGGCAAAATCTTGCCAATGGTTTATCCATTACAAGTAATTGAAAAAGCTGGAGCTTGGTTCTTCAACATGGAAGCTTACAAGACAAACAAAAGGGGTCAAGAAGCAGCAATCTGTACAGTTACTGAAGGGACAATCCTTCCTTTTTCTTTCACAGACAACAGATGAGCATGTGCTACAACTCAGAGGACAGGGTTTAGTTCTGTGCTGGCTTTGCATTACCTTTGTGTCCTTCTGATCCAGTACAGGCCAACTCCTGCCCTTGGGAACCTCAGCAGAACTCTGTAATTGCTCTAACTTGTGCTGGCTGCTTTAGGGATCCATGGGAAGCCACATCACAACTTAGAGGTCATGGTGCAACATTGTCCCAGGGAGGTCCTTGTATGACTTTAACCAGAGAGCTGATATAGGAGCTCTTAAGACAACTCCTATGCAGTGCTGCACCAAAAGTTGGTTTAGTCCATATTAAGAAAACTACAGCCTGACAAGTAGGGTATGATGTTTGCACTGGTATTAGGATTGAGAAAATTAAATCTACTAAAGACCCCTGGATTAGGTGTGTGAGAGAGGCCCAGGCCAGGATTTAGATGGCTTCTGCATTGGAGAAGTTTGATAGCTACAAAGCATCTTTTTCCTTCTTGGTGACATCGTCTGAGTGTGTTTCTGGTCTGGGTTTCAGGTGGCTGGTCGGAGTGGTCGGAGTGGAGCCTGTGTAATGAAGAGGGCATCCAGTACCGCAGCCGCTACTGCGAGGTGCACAGCCCGGACTCTTCTCAGTGCGTCGGGAACAGCACCCAGTACCAGGATTGCCTGTACAATGAAATCCCTGGTATGTACAGTGTCACCGAGGAAGGAGAGGGTGGGCCAGTTCAGGAGAGCAGTTCGTGCCCAGACTGTCAAACTAGGCTGAGATTTTCTCTATTATAAATTGGGCTTGGATGCTTCTTTGCTAGAAAAACAAGCAAACAACCAACCATGTTATATATTCCCTCGTGGCAGGCACAGGGTAACTGGCATTCCTTTAGGTGGCTTAATATTCTTTTTAAACAGAATTACCTAGATTTGTAACAAGTAACTAGTATGGCTTCACCTGAATTGAAGCTTTTAACCTTGCATCGTTCATCTCAGGATAGAATATAAAAATTCTCTCTGTTTTCGGTATGGGTATGGGCAACAGAATGTCCTTGATTTCAGGTATCAAAAGAAGCATCCCAAAAGAGTGAAGAATGAGGGTGAGGCAGATGGAGAAAATTTGAGTGTGAAGTAGGGAGATTAATCCAGGGTCTAACAGACAGACACTGTTGATGGGCAGATGGTCATCAGCATATTCCACCCTGTGTCTTCTGGAAATTGAATCTCTCAGGCAAATACTTGGTATGGGTCTAGACTGAATAATGCCTTTCCACATGTTATTTTTTGGATTATGGTGCCCTTACTTAAAAATCTGAGATCTCTAGGCAGTGGTAGTCTTTTTCATGGTTTTCTCAGCTTTCATCTTTCCCCTAATTGAAGAAGCTAAACAGTGATCAGGTAACAGTACTGGAATTGTCAGGTCTTTGGAGAGGTTTTATTGCATGTGTTTCTAACTATGAGCTTATAATTCAATTTGGAGAGGCTCTCAGCTTGCTGCAGAACATGTGAGCACCTTCTCGTGTCTGGAGCACAGGGGGTTTAATTACTTGGAGAAGTAAAGTGATGGCAAAATGACGACTTTCTCCAATCTTCTTCTCTTTGTTTAGTGATCCTGCCAGCCTCCAGCATTGATGAGAGCACGAACTGTGGAGGTAGGGTACCATTACCTATATATCTTATTTTTATCTTAACATGGCTTTTTTTCTCCCTGTGCAGTATCAACCAAACCATTAATCTATACAGCTCATATCCCACTGATAGCCTTAATTCCACTGGAGTCTTGCTGTCTGAGTCGGACTGGAGGAATGTATCGCATGTCCACTTGTCAGTTCCAAGATTTTCATTTATTTGAGAGTTTGGGTTGACCACTGAGAGTCATTAATTACCAGGGAGCAATTGCTTGTCTCTCTCTACCCACAGGGTAAATGGTTCAGGAGGGAGGAAGGGATATTCCCCATTCCACCACTGTAAGCCTCCAGCTGTTTGAAGGCAGGTGTTTTTATATAACCTATGAAGATTTCAGTGAATAGGGTCTCAGACAGATCCTTTGCTGATATAGGTTGAGATTAGAGGTTTATACTTGTCCTCCAAGCACTTCCTTTCATTCAAGTTCTCACCTCTCACAGGATCCGTGTCTCCTTTCTGCATGTAACGTGGAAGGATCCAAGTTACAAGTCATTAGTGTCACTTTTCCACTGCCTTAGGAGCCCCGAGATAAAAATGCAGACTGAAGAAAATGGCAGGTTCCTTTAACGTTTTGAAAAGCTAGTTTCACACTAATGACCATGCCAGTTCCTGCTAGCATCACATCCCTGCTTTCCTGAAATCTAGATGATCTGCAGGCTGCCAAAATCTTCTCCCTGTAGAGATCATAGCAGAAACAGGCATGCCACCTGTGGCATGGAAATGTGGCCTCTTGGTTTGTGACTGTGGGGCAATTAATGGGATTAATATTTCATCCTCTGCAATGTAACATTTGGTTTCCTGCACCACTCTTTCTCCCTCAGAGGGTGCAGTGGTTCTACTTCAGTTCCACGACCCCTTGCTATGGCTTGCACTCCACTGTTGTGCACTGTACCCACATTTCCTTCTTTTACCATCACCTCTGTGTTTGCTGTTGCAATCTACTTTTTACCATAGCTAATATTATTTATTACTTAGTGTTCTACAATATTTGGCAAAGAAGCCAATCAATAGAAATTCTGTTGATGCATCTCAGAAAATCTATATTTTCAAAGTGATGAACCAGAAAGCTTCCCCCCTGGGGATTCACAAGCTGCAAACAAAATCATTTGTTTGGTGTTCCCCCCCACCTCCCCTTAAGATACAGCTAAAACTCATCTGAAGAATCAGATGGGTGTTTCAAAGGTGAGACTGAAATGTAAGAGAGCTTTATGTAGTGACTTGCAAATGTAGCAGTGAAATGAAACATTCAGTGCAATATAAGCAAAGTTGGGCCAGAGGAGAATGGGGCAGCGTGTCATGTGCCTTTACTGAGCACAGTTGTGTATTCTGTGTTTTAGCTGTCAAGAATGATGTAAAGCAGGCAGAGGTTTTTAGAAAGGAAATGTCTTTTTGAAGAAGTCTTGTAACATTTAGGAAGAAATTATAATCTTTCTGCTAGTATTTTTGGACCATCATCCAAAACACAATAGAAAGTGGTAAACTTGCAGTAGAGTTTTATAGTGTGGTTTGAAAAATAAGTGTAGCTCATCAGTCTAATAAATTCTGTATGTTCCTTACTGTAATTATGATTGAAGTGCATTACTTTGCTGTAGAATTCTACTGATTTTGTTCTTTTTAAACTCAGGAAGATATTTTTTAACTAAAGATTAGACGAGAGCCATTGACTAATGGGCAGAATCTGCTATTTGAAAAGCATATCAGTTAAAATGTTAAGATGGCACCAAAAAAATGCATTCCGTGATCAGACTAAGAATGAGCCTCATTTAAAGTCGCTCTCTGACTGGTCCCATTTCTCTGCACACAGTCAAGTCAACACAGCAGTCTGTCCAGATGAATTGGCTTTTTAAGTATTACGGGAAATTTACCGCTGCAGTCGCCACTGAGCCGGTGTGACTGACCCCTGAAAGAGCTGCCCCGGGGGGCCAGCAGTCAAGGGGTCCCCCTCAGACACCAGGGCCCCTGTCAGGTCTGTTTGAAAGATGACAGAGCAAAGGCAGAGGAAAGGCAGTAGCATTTGGAGTCAAATAACTGATCCTTTTTCTGTAGAGTCCCCCTTGCACATAGCTAAATACAGCAGGGTCATAAAGTTTTGCCACCCAAGATTGCCTCTGGTTGCTTCATTAACTTGGTGGCTGTAAAGGGTGCTACTGTTTGTTCTGTTGTCAGTGGAGATCTGTTGGTCGTTGCTTTTACTGTGGGGGGTGAGACTCTGTGAGGTGAGGGAGGAATGAGGAGTGCTGTTTGACTTTGTCTTACCCCCACCAGTCAGAGCTGTGAGTGAGTTAGGTACTTCCCAGCACGTGGGATGCACAACTACAGCACCTTCCAGAGTTCAGTGCTGAGCTTGGAGGGTGCTGCTGCAATCCCACGAGGAGGGATCTCCAGAGGAGGCTTTTACAGTCCAAGAGCTTTTCTGTTTGAAATATTTGCACTGTAGCTATCCTGCTGGCACCTGCCTGCAACTGGCTTCCTATCTCTGCAATTTGTGGAGAAAGCCAACAAAGTGTTTTTCAAGCAGTTCCCCCCTTTCCTTTGCCCACCTTATCATTCTTATTTTCCTGAGGTCCCCTATTTCACTGTTAGCAGTAGAAATACAGCTCAGAGGTAGTGCAGACATGGCCAAGGCAATGCTGCCCCATGAATAAGCAAGAATGCTGAGCACACTTGGATTACAAGGGGGAGGAATGTGTATCTCCCCCACCCCACACACAGTCTCATAGGCATTTTGGGCAGCCAACAAAAAGGGCTTTCCCCTCCCTTCCTTCCCCTTCAGAGAAACACTGAGCATTTTTATCCCCTTATTTCCATGACATGCACATGCTTTGGAATCCATTAATGTGCATTGTTTGTATGGCTCATTTCTTTAGCTGTCAGCTTAACATAATGTTTAGTTTCAATATCAATAGAGGGGAGAGAGGAGAGACAGGGAGGGAGCTTTGAGAAAACAATGCATGAACCTGTTAAACTGCCCAAGGCAGGGCTGCAGTGGGGAGACTGATTTGCAGGAAGATTATGTCAGTTTATGTTATAACATAAGACTCTGTCTTCAACAGCTTATTAATGTTGATCCCGAGATGTCACCGCTCTGATTTGCACCTGTGGTCTTGTCGGGGGAGGAAAAGGGGCTGTTCTTTAAAAATAGCATCTCTTGTCATTTCCCTTGCAGGTTTTAGTCTCATCCATCTGATTGCCACTGGGGTCTCCTGTTTCTTTGGCTCTAGCCTCTTAACGTTTGTGATTTACGTGTACTGCCAGCGCTGTCAGAGGCAGTCCCAGGAGTCCACCGTTATCCACCCCACCACTCCCAACCATCTCCATTACAAGGGCAACACAACCCCCAAGAACGAGAAGTACACCCCTATGGAGTTCAAGGTAGGGTACTTGATGAGAAATACCACAAACAGCTTGATACTGCCTAAATAAATTCTGTATTTATGTCAGGGTTGGAACTGTGTAGGCCTGTGTTTCTGTGCCCAGCTGATGGCATTGTACAGGGGCTTGAAAGGGCATTTAGTTGTACTGTCACAAAGGGGTTAAAAAGCCTCATTACTGCAGTGGGATTTTGTTCTGTTTCACAGTCCCGATGAATGCCAGTCTGGCAAGTACATACCAAGATACTCCAGCCCATTCTGACTATTGAATGTATACAAATTGTCCTCTAAAAAATCAGTAAGAGCTCAGTTCAGTGCATTGTTAGTGCGTGGTAAGAGGAAACGGAGGGGAGGAAGAATAAAAATGGAAACTTCATTAGACAAATAGCTGGGAAAATGCGCATTGGTAGGATGAGATTTTGGAAATTCTTTGGGAACTGCCAAATTGGAGTGAATGAGAAAGCAGAGAGGGTTCTGCCCCCTCTATCAGTACTGGACAGAACTTACCCCAGGCAGCCATGCAGAATTGAATGACAGTAGCAGAGTAGGGACTGAAGCCTTAGGAGGTGAGTGCTGAAGTGGCATATGCTATTACCATGTCTGCCTGCTAAAGAGAACACCACCCATTATCTCAGCAGATAGGCTATGGTGCTGGAGACAATACACTGAGACAGTGACACAACAATGTGTTTGAGCATCAGCCTCCTGGTGAAGCGTGGGATCAGAGGAGTGAGCAGTGGGATGGGTGGAGGGGCTTCATGTCACTACAGGAGGAACAGCCTGCCTAGGGACACTTGAACAGTGTGGAGTATTATTTGGGACATGAACACAAAGCAGAAGGAAGCCCTGCAGCTGCTTATTCCTTCAAACAGCTATGTGCTGTTGACATTTTGATAGTCTGTTTCTGCTGATCTGGCCTGGCTTCTAACTGAGACCCAACAATAAGATCAGTGGTGGGACCGTTGCCATAAACTCCCTGGGTGTTGAGGACTGTTTCTATGTAGGAGTTGTATAATGCTGGGCACAGGACGACTCCTGATACACAGCCATGATTTGCAGTGTGAGTGCGCATCAGAAATAAGAGCTTGCATCAAATAATTTGAAAAGTGTCAAAGTTGTTTCACTGTTTTGAAGGGAAACAGTTTGAGCTGAAAAATAACTGACCAGTTTGACAATAAGAATGTGGTGAATTCCTTGTGTCAGGCACTGCAGCCTCTCAGAGGATCCCGCTGCCTATAAATGGAGTCTCAAAAACACATTTTCTAGCAGCATAAGGCTACAGTTGCATGCAGTTTAATAAGAGTGCAGCATCATAATGCAAGTCAGCATGGATTTGTGGAAAGTAAATCATGTCAAGCAAATTGGATTCCTTTTTTAAATTAAATAAATATTGATCTAGATAGGAGAGAAGCATCAGACGTATTGGGATTTTCAGAGACTTTAACAAAGTTTCACAGGATGTATTATTCTATACACTCTGCATATACAGATTCGGTGATAAATTATTAAGACAGGTAAAGAACAGGGGTCTGATCCTGGAAGCATCAAACTATGAGAGCAATCCTTTCAGTTGTGTGAGTAGCTGTGGCACGGTCAATAGGAAGACCCAGATTAGAAAGGCTTGCAGGAATAGAGATAAGCAAGAGCATTCCCTTGTTTCTTATATAGCAAACAATGAAGAAAAGGGCCAAAATTATTTTTGTGGCCAAAAGCAGGTAGTTACAAGTTGTATTTGTGTTACATTTTCTTCACGATTTGTGTCATGAAGAAAATCATACATTATCAGATGATACTAAAATAGGCGGAATGTTTACAATTTAGAAGGACGAGGTTGTTCACAGAATGATCTTGATCAGCTGGGTAAATGGGTTATGAAATGCACTATGTCTATGTCAAGTGGTGCAGTGAAGTAGAAGTAATAACAAAGCTAAGCAAAGTTTAAAATAGCAGCCGATTAGTTAATGTAGTGTCAGGAGGGAGTTGACCTCTTTGATAGATCCATCTCTGAATACTTGATCTAGTGTATAGTAACAGTGAGCAGCTGCTAGAGTCTTCTTTCAAGGGACATAAAGAGCTTAGGCATTAGATCAAGTTTTGAAAAGTCTGGTTTATTTAAAGGGAAGCATTAGCTAACTGACACTCTGTGAGTTAGGCTGGGGGGAGAAGGGACTTGGACACAAGAAGAGATAGACCAGATGGGGCTTATTTATAGAATGTTAGGAAGTGAAAGAGTTCAAGTGCATAAATCTGCAGTCATTGGACAGACCAAAACTAAATGTTTAGGAGCAAGGGGCTACTAGCCGAGAAGGACTCGAAGTCATACACTCTCAGAGCGGTGAATGAGATTTACAGAAAGGGTAAAATGTATTTATCAAGTGAAGACCCCTTTTCTCCATTCCTGTTGAGTATTTCCATCTGCTCACCTTCCCTATTGCCCCTCCTTTCCTAAACTCTTGACTGAAAATTTCTCATTTCTTACTACAAATTAGCCACTTCTCAGTGTTCCCTTGAAGTAAGAGGAAGGCACTGTGTGCTCTGTGCTGTGTAATTACTTACAGAACTTGTTATTAGCCAGCTTTATATTTAGGAATAACTGGCAGAATTTTCTAAGGGTCAGGAGGGAGTTTTTCGTGCCTTCAAGGAGCATGTGCAGTTTTATTGGGATGCCACACAATTAACATTCAAATGATGAAGAAGCTAAAATTCCCCTTCCTCAAAATGAGGATTGGACTGAATTTGGATATGGGCCATCTGAATTTAAAATGTGTATGTATGAAAGAAAGTGGAAACACCTGAAATTCCAGATTCTAAACCCAAGTAAGTTTCTATTCAGCAAATACCAAGAAAAAAAACACCCTCAACATTTTTTAGGTAATGAAAGCAAACCAATAATTGTAGGTTTATGTGTGTATCTGTGTGAAAGAGTTAATAAGTCCATGATTAAGGAAATACATGATGTGTAGACTACTTTTCAGTAACAGAAAATAATAATACATAGTGACATGATGGTAGCAGAAGGCTGGCCATATGCACAAGTCTATTATTTTCCATTCTTTGATAATGGAAACAAACCTTCTGCAACCATCTTTAGTTTGTTTTCATCTTGAAATATCTCTGCTCTCCAACCAGCAGGTGAACACTGTAGAAAGCTTGGCAGTGTTACATTCAAATGTACAGCACTGAATGCAAACTTATAAATCAAGGTGAATTTTATATGAAGGCAGATTTTAGTGAAGGAAGTGCTAGCTGATAGGAGCCTTGTTGGACATTTCAGCACAGCATTGCAGATCAGATGTAAATATCGTACATAACAGTGACCTATTGATCATTTAGCTGATGCTAACTTGCATAGCCAGTGTTTTGCAGAAGCATGTTTTTTTTTTTTTTTTTTGGCTTCTTTTCCCTTCTTGCTTTGCTTTCTGACAAATACTGTGAGGTTTATTATTAGCTATTTTAGCCATGATGTCTTAAAATATTTCATGCGTATGCATTTACCAGCAAAACGTTGATTTTGATTTGGTATTCACAGATCGTAGGGGAGAGACCTTTTGGGTCACCTAATAAGCAGTTCATGTTTCATTAATTGGTTGCAGTTCAAACAGCACTCTGACAATATTGAAGACTGTGCAGAACAAAAGCGTAATGAAATTAAAATTATCTGCTCTTCACATTTTGGCATGATGGGTTACAGAACCACCTACAACCTTCCCGGTACTGCCATGCCGATTAGTTAATAACTGACTATCAAAGCAGGGAGGAGATCCTCTTTTTTAATATCTTGCTTTAGCTACTCAGTGCCTTATGTGAGTTACTCATTGGACTCATGCTGATGAAAAGCCAGATGATCCTGAAGTAGAAGCAGGAGGATGCAGGGTCAAGATTGAGCCCTTGTGAATTAGAGGAGTTCTTGGAACAGCCACACATGGAGAAAGGGTTTGGACTGAACTTCTTCCTATTGCTAAATCCTCTGCCAGTAAAGAGAGCCAACATTTTATTCTACATGGGATTTGGACAAAGGCGTCTGCATATTGGTCCAAATCCAAAATCCAATGGCCTTTGGATCAGGCCAGATGGGATCAGCGAGAAATCTAAGTTTGTAGCATGGTTATGATGATGATTCTGCAGATTTTCTTTGCAATTGTGCTAGACAGACTTCCCTCTGTCCTTCCTTCCTTAAACACAGCTTTAGTCATGAGTCTCACAGTCAAACTCCCTGTGCTGATGCCTCAAATAAACTGAGGAAGCACCTGAGCATTACATCTGCTCTGGCATCAGCGCTGCTCTCGTAGAAGCCGAGGGCCAAACACTGAAGCAATGCAGTCATTTGTGTCAAGGATTAAATTTATTGTGGGAAAAGATGAGGTGAAAACTGAGTGAGATTGCAGGATATGGCAATAAAAAAGGGAAACGAAGTGTTTGATGTATCACTTGATACCTGAATTTTCTAGGACAATAGAACAATGCACATTAATTTCAATAGGAATGTGAGTCCTGCACTTGCCTAAAATTATACTGCAAATATAGATGAAGCTACCAGAAAATGGGGGAAATATTCAGTAGATCACTTGCAACTGTATAAATTAGAAGTTACAATGGATATTTTCTAATGAAGTGAGAACAATGCTGTTGGGAATCAAATGACAGTGCGCAGCAGACACCCTCTGTGAAGGACTCTGGACCCTGTGATCCACACTTCATTGCTAATCCCAAATAATTCATGTCAATAAAATACCAACAGAAAGAGAGAAGAAACAGAAACCAATTCTGTCTTTGGAAGAAGAATCCTTCTGAATAAAACAACAAGCTGGGTGTTTGGCGTGGCTTTCAACATTGCAAAAAGCAGTAAAGCTCAGGGTATAGGAAAGTGAATCTCTGTATGGATTTTAAATGTCTCACTCTTGGTGATGGTCATTTTCATTGCTGCTGAAAATCACACCTCTTTTTATAGCAAGGAGACCGCCAGTGGTTTAAGTTTAAATTGCTTTAACTGTCGTCAAATGC